TCCCCAGGTACTGCCTGGCTGGGCTGCCCGTGGGCTACCAGTTCAAGAACATCACCAACGCCGACGTCAACAACCTGCTCCTGGAGGATCTCATCATCTGGACCAACTATGAGATCGAGGTGGCCGCCTACAACAGCGCTGGCCTGGGGGTCTACAGCATGAAGGTGACCGAGTGGACGCTGCAGGGAGGTAGGCAGGGGTGGGCAGGAGCTCAGCATCAGTGGCAACAGGCTGGGCCATGAGGGGTCTTGAGGATGGGTGGCAGGAGGATGGGTTTTAGGGGTCATGACTGGGACGTGCTGGGGAGGGATGGGCAGGGTTGGCCTCCTCAGGGGTGTGTTGGGGCAGCATCCTGGGGTCCTGACGGGCTGGCACCTAGCCGATGGAGGGGACCTCAAAGAGCTGGACCTGCTGTGAGCTGTCCCTTTGTCTCGGCAGTCCCCACGGTGCCCCCGGGGAACGTGCAGACCGAGGCCACCAACTCCACCACCATCCGCTTCACCTGGAACCCCCCCAGCCCCCAGTTCATCAACGGCATCAACCAGGGGTACAAGGTGAGGGGAATTCCTCTGGGTCTCCCCAAAAACGAGGCAGATGGGGTGGGGACACTCCTTGACCAACCTCCACAAACTGACTCGACTCCTCCTTGAGAAAACCCCAGAATTTAATTGGTTCCAACCTGACTGTTAATATTTACTGAGATTTAACACTTGCATGGGCTTGGAGTCTCCCGTGCTCTGTAATTAATTCCAAGTTGCAATTAATTCAAATTTACATTAATTAAATTGAATTAAAACATTAAACTTGTTTCTTAATCCACTCCAAAGAAGTTCAGGAATCTAATTGCCGCCGAACGAGATAACCGAGAGCAAGGAGGACGTTTAACATTCTTATTAAATGCCACTTAGTATTTTTGATTAGTATTTTTAGGGTCTAATTAGTATTTAATTAAGTTGCCATAGGCTATTTTGCACAATACCAATTAAATGCCCAAACATCCTTCCTCCACGATTATTATCAATGGGAGCTCATCGCCGAGCGGGCGCTGCGTAAACACGCGTCGTTAAAGGCACCCAGGGTTCCCTGCGTCGTTAATTGATATTTAATCAACTCTGAACGAGGAGTGGAAGTTGGAAGGTGCCTGATGAGTCCCCGAGGGGCCTCATCCTGACCCTTTTTCTCCCCACCACAGCTCATCGCCTGGGAGCCGGAGCGCGAGGAGGAGGCGACGGTGGTGACGGTGCGACCCAACTTCCAGGACAACGTCCACGTGGGCTACGTGGTGGGGCTGAGGAAGTTCACCGAGTACTTCACCTCGGTGCTGTGCTTCACCACGCCGGGGGACGGCCCACGCAGCCCCCCCCAGCTGGTGC